GCAGGTTCTGCGAAGAGCCGCCAGCAGTGGTACTCGTTCCCCTGTTTTCTCCGATTAGAGTAGCCGTGGAAGTACTTCTGGCTAGCGGTAGAAGAGACACACGCTTCGCAGGCCAGTTACAACTTGAACTAGATAAAGATACGGCCGAAGATGGAATACCGCAAGGCGTTTACAAAACGCATTGCCGCCTTGGTCTCTGTTTATGGGACAGTCTTCTCCTCACGGGCCCTCCAGGAAGACACCAGCTGAAAGCCACTGCCGTTGAGCATACTGCAAGCACGGAAGGCGCACACAGGGTTATTCGCCCAGCAATCTCCGCCCCAATCCTATTCAAAGAAGTGTCCATAGTCCAAACTCCAAATAGAGAGGTGAAAAGTGCCATTGTGGAGCAAAAAAAACCAGATATCCGTACTTCGCTCAGGTATGGCTTAAGCGCAAATTGTGTAGTGGCTTGTGGTTCGTTTGCATGGGCTTGTAACTGCTTACGCATGGGTACCGCTGCTGGTGAAAGCTCCATGTGTGCATTCAATATGGGTAGAATGGATGGTTGATGCGTTCCCGCTTTAGGCTCGTCCAAGCTGTCCCTTCTATTGTCAGAGTGGGGCAACCGTGGGATCTGGAGGTGGCTGTGGAGTCTTTTCCTTCGACGCTTGCAGAAAGCGTGCTGTCAAGGGAGCGCTCGCTACGGCAGCGACTAACAGTAGCGAAGCATTCTGCTTGGGGTGGGTGGAGTAGTTGGACTCAAAGCATTAACCTCTACGGCATGCTACACAGAGAGCAGCGCCTCAAGCGCCTCAACTCTCAAAAGAAAATTTCGCAACTTCAGCACAACGCGATTGCGGGCCATACACTTCGTGTCTCCATAGCTAAAGCGTGGCCGGAGAACTTGATTTCCCTCACCGGCCAAACAGAAGCCACAACAAACGAACAGGGGCATGGCATACTGAGTGGCTTAGCAGTGTGGCTTCAGGAACCAAGAGCCAATTCTGCTCTCCAGGCACCCTGGGTGGAGCTTAAAGTTGAATGCGTGACTTGCACCATAGACAAAGGGCAATTTCGTTCACTATTGGAGACTCCTCGGATCTTCCTTGACGTGTTGTCCGCGGTTGGCGTGTTCAAAGACGTTGCGGCAGCTGCATCTGCTGTTGCAAAATGGCGGTCGGCGAGGGAGGTTATGGAGGAAACAGATGACGTCAGCGCTGCGCTTGTCCTCCCAGGCAGGCCTGCACAAATGTGTNGGAGGTTATGGAGGAAACAGATGACGTCAGCGCTGCGCTTGTCCTCCCAGGCAGGCCTGCACAAATGTGTGTGCAGCTCTTAGACAGACCTTTCGCTGACGTGCTAATAAAAGCGCAACATGGGCAGGGGCTTACTCTCCTGGGTGATGCCAGCATCCGCATCTCTCCCTACGTTTGGCCTCTGCCTGCCTGTTGGCAGTTTGCAGCAGCACCGACGCATCAACTGGACGTTCATGGAGCAGAGCAAAGCGTCTCCTTCCAGCTCTTCAGCGCCGACAGTACGTTTAGCAGCAAGGCTGGGGTGCGCTGGAGGGGTATGGCCGACCCTGATGGATCTGTCAGGGTTATTGTGTTGCCTTCTCGATCCCTGCTTGGCCCCAATGGACTTCGCTACATGCTGCGAAACCCAAGGTCGAGTCATACTGCGATACTAAGCTCCCAACAAATTGGACAGCTAAAGTGGGTACAGCTGCATTCGGGGCCTCTGAGAGGACGTGCCCGGCTGGTAGTTCCGAAGTCTACGGCAGCTCAAATTAGCACACCACCGCCGGTTGCTTCAATGCATTTGGTTAACAGAGATGTAGAAGCCTTCCTACAATGGAAGGCTGTAACGCACGTGGTTGAACTCATCCCGCCGCAAACAAAGGTTGTACTAGAGCTAGAAGTCGTCGGACCGTCTACCCCGAGCGTGGATATGACAGGCCAGTGCGTGGATACAGATGCGGGGAACGTCGTCTTGGCCACAGTAAATACGTCATTTCGTATGCGCTACTCGGATGAACAGTCAGCCACGCAAAGGCACGAAGGATATCATNTCAACTAAGTCCAGCTAGCGCAGGGCTCCTACATCATCACGTGGTTTGCGAGTTCCGTGCTATGGCAAGCCAGACACAGCAGCAACTGCGGCTTCTCCCCAGAGCGTCAGTAGACGTAATCGTCGGTACGCGTCGTCCTTGTAAACAACGGAAGTGTTTCTAGTGGAATGGCTGAGAGTTTGCTTGTGTGTTGCCTTCCTTTTTGTGCCGCCGACCAAGAGAGCAAAGGATGCCAGTGAATTTTTGCATGCAGCCTGCAAATGATGTTGCCTTTTTGCAGTCCGGCAGCAATGCAACGAAGGTGAGGTATTCACCTTCCGGCGAAACGCCTGTGAGCCTTGTCCGGAGGGATTTGAATGCTCACTTGCCACTGCGAAGCCGTGCACGGACGGAGCAGTCAGCCCGAAGGGAAGCCTCACTTGTCAAGCCTCGACCCCGTAAGCAACCCATAGTTTCTTCGATTCATACGACCATCCGCTTGCTCAGACCGCCGATACTTCACTGTGGATTGCATGGCGTGGGGTGGGAGTGCGGATAAATTTAGTTTGCTGCACCTTGTCGCCCATGCTCTTTAGGGCCTACCTTCCCCATGTTCCGTAGTACGGTCCCCGTCAGCCAATGATGTGGAATGTACTTGGTGTTAAGTCATTCCTTTCANTGCAGACTGCCCGATGGGCATGTACATTTCAGACAGGAATGAAGGTCCTCCAGAGTGCAACATATGTCCTCCTGGTTTCTCTTGCCAAGCTGGAAAGAAAGAACCTTGCAGCCAAGGCACATACTCTCCTGTCGGCAGTGGACTCTGCTATCCATGTCCTGAGGACGCAATCTGCACTGATCCAGCCAAAGCACCAGAAAGATGCCCCTTTGGATGGCAACGCAAGGGAGAAGAGCTATCATGTACTCCCTGTCCGGCTGGCAAGATGTGTAACAGCTGGAGCGGAGGTATAACAAGAGGTTTATCTGAAGTACGCTGCCCCTTTGGGACCTATACAAAACAAGAGTACCCAGGAATCTGCATTCCGTGTCCACCTGGTTTTCAATGTCCAGATCCCCAGGGAGTGCCAGAGCCATGCCCTCCTGGGACCAGCTCTTTGGGGGGCAAGCGTAAGTGCTCCTTGGCTCCTGCTGGTTTAATCGTAGAGCCAGGCAAAGAGCATCTTCCTCCAAGGCCGTGTGATGACGGGCTGAGACCAATCGAGCTAGCGGGGCAGTGGTGGTGCGGCATTGGATACGACGACGAGAATTCCGTTCTCGAATCTAAAAGCCTGCAAACACGCTCTCCTACCTCCGATAGTCTTGTATCAGCAAGGGCAGACTCCTTCCCGGATATGTGCAAGCTAGCGTTCATGGACCACATCGCTTGTTTTGCGTACCACACATCACCGAAAGGCTGGTGTCCGACCTACAACGACAAGGTCCAAACGTGGAATTCTAAATTTTCAAACGCACCTTTCTTTCCTCAAGGTGGAGGCTTCTCAATGTTCTTCACCTCCTGCGGCTATACGAGGACGCTTGACGATTCGTCAACCCGTGTAGGGCATCAAAGCTGATTCCCATTGTGGCTAGACGCTTAGCGCTACACTGCAGCANAAGAGGCTCGCCCATCCGATCTGGGGATCTAAGCTGGAAACTGAATCGCCTTGCCACTTTGGCTAGTACGCCGTGTCACACTGCAGTCCCAAGTACCAACAAAGGTGGCAGCTTCCACAACCTATCAGCAATGGTTATAGTACCAACTGTTACCATCTGCTACGCTATGGGTAAACGTTATCTGAGCATGCATTCCCTTCTGAGATAATATGCGTGTTATGCAGTGTCTGCGGCCCTACTGAGTGGCGTGCGATTAAGCCCGGGTACTTCCAAATTTCTTGGCGAGGAGGCGTCACAACGTCCGATGGCGAGTATGAGACTGCAAAGGAGTACAAGTGTTGGGCGGGCCACAAGTGCGAAGGCAAGCACCACTGGCCATGGCCCTGCCCACCAGGGACGTATGCCAACGACTCCGGAACAGATTGCATCAAGTGCCCGGCAGGGTGGCCGTGCCCCATGTCTCGCACAGCCAAAAACCAGCTGGTCGTAGCATGCTGGCCTGGCCACTATTGCCCTGAAGGATCTGCCAGCCCGACAGCTGTGCCGTGCCCAGCAGGGACGGTGAACCACAGCGTTGGTGCAAAGGATAAGTCAGCATGCAAACCATGTCCAGCCGGATGGCTTTGCGCGGAGCGATCCTTCCAAAGCGTAGGCTTAGATGCCTGTCCCTCAGGCCACTATTGTCCTGAAGGATCTACAAAAGGCATCCCGTGCCCAGCTGGAACCCACACACCATACCCGGCGGCGTCTGACAGAATGACGTCTGCAGGCGATTGCGTGCCGTGCGTAGCTGGCTATTACTGTAAAGAGGGCAGTAGCCTCATGGACATGCTGTCCCAGCCATGCGCCGCAGGTAGGTATTTGTACACGCGTGAATACTCACAGCAGCGCACGTGGTTTGAGGTTACCAGAACAGGGGTTTTCGTTGCTCCCGTAATACTTTAATTTTCCATATGCAAATCCTGGAGGTTCAGGCAGGCTATTCATTTTCTGCGATGCCTCAGGCCGCGTATGCCCTGCCGGAACGGACTCAGAGAAAGGGCCGAAATGTCTTCCTGGCTTCTACAGCACTGTTACCGGCTTGACAGATGTATCGGAGTGNCAGAGAAAGGGCCGAAATGTCTTCCTGGCTTCTACAGCACTGTTACCGGCTTGACAGATGTATCGGAGTGCCTACCTTGTGAGGCTACGCAGGAGTTTGCAAGCATTGTGCCCAGAAGGCACCGTGGGAAAGGTCATTTCCCGAATTTTTTTACAGCGTTGTTATGAATATTACATTAGCAAGTACTCTTCATTATCAAGGCGTGCGCCCGTAGGCCCGGCTGGATACTACTGCGACTATGGGGATGACAGCCACGCTCCAGACCAAATCACCGGGAAATGTTCTGAAGGGTTAATGTCTCTTAACACCGGGCTGTTTGGCGCTGCACACGCGTTACGCCCTATTGAGGCCCAGGCGGGTAAGCAGCGCCCTCAGTAGTCACGTCAGAGGGTTTGCTCTGTGGGAGACTACCGAGTAGGTTCGAGGGAAAGTGATTCTCGGACCCTGACGCAGAGCTCTTTAGGCTTTTTTGCTTGCTCATGGTGAACGCGGGCCAGTTCTTTTTCCCAGCAAACTTTT